GTGCCCATCTGCACTCTAACTCCAGAGTGAAGGGCTTTGAAGGCCTAGAAGCTTCAGCTCTCTAGAGTTACTTCAGAGTCTTGAGGTTCTTTGAGCGGAGAAATCTTAGCAGAAACTAAGCTTAGAAAACTTAGCTGAAAAGGTTTGGTACCAGCCATGAGCTACCACCCTCAGTGACTTCTGGATGACCTTACTCTTGCATCAAGAAAGTAAGATTTTCAGAGCTCTCTTCTGTTTTGCACTTTCATTTGTTTAGGGAACATCAGAACAAATAAATTATAGTATTTGCTCATTTTTATGAACTAGATACATCTGAATATACTTTCTTTGCATCGGAATCAGTAAAACTGGAAACTACAACCCATAGGGTGGGGTGTTGAAAGTTGTTATCAATGACCAAAATGTTCCAGAATAGTTAGCCTTTTTTTTTTTTTCCTCTAATAAAGAAACATCCTTATTTTGGGAAATGCGATGGGGAAAAAAAATCTATTTTCATCTGTCTGTAACCTTTTTCTTCATATAGTGGAAAGGACAAACAGAAAGTTTGCCTGCAGGATAGCTTAAGGGTGTAAAAAGCAGCAGCAAGGGAGAAAAAAACCCCACATCACTGTCAAGTATGAGCTTGAATGGGACGGGTTATCCTTGAGGCAGGCTTGCTGTTGAGTTTGGGGAACACTTTATGAAACACCAGCTTTTTCACAGATGATTTTTTTTTTTCATGGAGGTGTCCTGTAGGAAGAAAACTGGATATTTTGTACTACTGCGACAAGCTTCATTACTATTTATTCCCATATAAGAAACAAATTTATTTGGAACAGAGATAGTCATAGAGGGATAAATATACGTTAATTTGGGCCTTTAAGTCTATATAGCAGCTTACAAACTAAAGTAACTGTGAGATTGTTTTGTAGAAGGGGACTGAAACTTAGGGAAATACAGGTTCTACCTTTTCATGGTAAAGCTTCATATTTTTCTGATGTGTGATGAAGGAAATTATAGTATCTGTAATCATAAAAGGAGAAACCAAAAGACATCAGTTGACTGCTATGCTTTTGATCTGGACCTGACGTTAACAATGCATGATTTGGAAAAGTGTGTGTGGTAGTGAAGATTACATTGACAGATTTAACAGAAGATCCTGACTTTTTCAGGCACCTTTCAGTGGAAAGTTTGCCAAAGCACTTTGCAGTGTGACGTGACTGGTTGATTAAAAATAATAATTAAAAAAAAAAATCTAAAGTATGTAGTGTAACACACAGAGCGAATAAAACAATTTTAATTTTGCAGTAATGACTTCTGAGCTCATTTTTACCACTCAGGAACTAGATTTAGGGGTGATAATAATTCTCTTGTCAGGCTGCGTACACAATACAGTCACACTGTATTCCAATGTGTTCTCTTAATCTCAGAAAGAAAGGATGTAGTGGAGCTGAAAACAGTACAGAAAAAAAACACCTCAAAATGTTTAAATGTATTCAGTGATAGGGATACAGTATACAGACTAGACAGACTAGAAATTTCTCTAAAGAAAACCTCAGGCAACCTGATAGAAGCAATTAAATTATTAGTGAAGTAGAAAATGTAAATTGTAATAATTAAATGTAAACAAATGCTTCCTTGCTTTCCCTTCTAATTTGAGAACCAGAGGCATCACATTAACAGGTGAGTTTCTAAGCAAAAGGTGTTTTTCACATTATACAAAGAAATGACCTTTTGTTCAGGAATTCTGTGATCCACAAATAGCTGAAGTTGCCTAATTATTCTGGTTAAAGCATTGCTATGTGTTGGACCTATTCTTTGCCCATAGGCAGAGACTGGTGATCTAAACGAAGTCGTTCTTCCTTCTGACCTGATACAGACAAATCTCTTTTGTTCTTTTAAAATTAATTCACTAGGCAAGATAAAGAGCTTGAACTAGTTACGTTTTTAGCTGGTACACCAACATGGTCACCAAACGGGTTAGAATCCAAAAGCTGCTGCTAGTTAACAAGTCGTCATACGAGCCAGAGTAACTATGTGTGAGATCTTAATCTGCGTAGAGCTGAAGTTATTCAGTCTGACTTTTTCCTACTGAGAAATGGAATTGCTGTTACATCCAAATGTACCCAATAGTCCAAGGTAAGATACTTCATAAGTATGTAGGAATGACCTGTGTACATCAGTATATTGAAGTCAGTCTAAAATTTGGATGTCCATGACAGAAATACAAAATCACAGTTATGCTATCTTTAATGGCTGTTGAATCAGAAATATATTCTAAGGTTTTCTTCCAGTTCCAAGGCTAGATATAACCTCAGGTAGCTGTTTCACGTGGCATATTTGCTCAGTCTGTTTCCCCAGTATTACTATTCTGATGTGGCACCAGCATTGATGAGCATAATTTAGCTGTCACTGTCTCTAAAGAGTAGCTCTGAACAAGATTAAATCACATAATGCAAGCATTGCCAGCCTGTAGCTCCTCAGTGCAGCTTTTACAGTATACGTATCTATGACAGGGCTAAATTATGTCATCGTCAAGACTGATGTCTTCCCAAAACACAAGCCTTTACCTTAGATGTCACTTACTTGTTCTAGAAATTTTGCACTTTTTAGCTGTGTCTCTATAAAGCATACTAGAGCTTCATAACATACTGTGGTAGACCACGGTCTGTCCCAATGCTAGTCAAATTTTAGTAAGTATGCTGCTCATTTTTTAACGTGCTTTCATGATAAATACTCCACTGAAAAAATACTTGTTGAAATAAGAATGGGGAGCAGTAAGAACAATTCCTGACATTGCAGAAAAAGCACTTTATGACAGTGAAAACTTGATGCAATAGCGGAGGAATTTTATAGCACTTACGTCAAGCAAAGAATAGAAAGGAACAGTTTCTTCGATATGGAATAGGAAAGGTCAAATGGAAGGCATTATGAACATTCTAATTGGAGACATTATAGTCATGAATTCTTTTTTACATAAGAGATGTGAGAAAGTAATAATTGCAGAAGTAGTTTATCACAGGCAGTCCTATGTGGTGTTTGATGAAGATCAATAGCATCTGGGTTAAACTAAGAAAAACTAAGTGCATTAATACACTGGCTAGGTGAATAATAGTGTTTCCTTTAAAAAAGCCAAAAAACAACAATACTGTCCCAGTTTGTCTGATCTGGGGGGGGCGGTAGCATGATAAACTACAAAGACGACTGAAAAGGTCAGGAAAAATAGTAGAAGTAGTTTGAATGTATTTAAACTTCATTTCTTATTAGAAGAAAAAAAAATTTGGACTCCAAATAATTTCTTTCACAAAATTCTAAGATCTTGAAATATATTTTGAGATATAGAAAAAGAGCCCTGTAATTTGATGTGAAGGGATGTGAAATTTTTTAATGAAAATTCTTAAAGGAAGTGCTATAAGCCTGTATGCTGCAAAATCATTTCCCTGACAGTAGCCAAAAGTTTGGTTTCACAATCTAGTTGAGCAAACTGAGCAGCAGCATTTTCATTCTCTTCCCTTCCCCCATCTATGTCGTTAACTCATTTGTTGGCATTATTGCTGTGGTTGATCCTCATTCAGCTGAGTCAGCTCTCTAAACAAGTCAAAAGTGCATAGGGGGTTGGTTGGTGGTGGTGGTTGTTTTGAGATGTTGAAGTGTATGAGTGACCTTACTGTGAAAACCAGATGAATCCCAGAGGTAACTAGAAGTAGACAGCAGGGTAAACGGATTAAAGTTGGAAATGGGAGCAGAACTTCCCTTTTTTTGGCAGTCATACTGCTATAATCCAATTCAGGCTGAATTGTAAAAAGCATATTCTAAAATTATCACAGTGGTAACAAATAGAGTGTTATGACAACAGAGCTCTATGTTACTGCAGTTTAACAGTACTAAAGAACATTGGTAGGAAACTAAGGTGAGATACGTTGTAAGTACTTTAAAACAACCTGGGTATCAGTAAATTAACATTCTAAGGTTTGGAAGTCAGTGCAGAAATACAAGATCACAGCTATGCTGTGCCTGATGGCTGTTGAATCAGAAATTCATTCTAAGATTTTCCAGTTTAATGTTGTCAGTTTTATGCATAATCTTGTTCCACATAATTCTGTGGTAACCTAAATTCTGTTAATACTTTTCTCTGGCTTTATGTTTAACACTGAACAGGAATCAAAGTTATAAATAAATTAATCAGGCATTCCATTAGACCATTTTTCTTCCCCCTACTTTTCATGGCTTAGATTTTGCTGTGTACCATTGGTCCGGTTTTGAACTTAGCCCTGGAATTCTACATGAAGTATCATGCAGCTCTAACATTGCAGTATCAGGCTGCCAGCAGCTAACTTACAGGTTTTCTGGTTGAGGTGCATCCTTAATGCTATGCTGTTTTTTGTTTACATACTTCTCAAAACAGTTCTGTAATTTTTAGATCTATAAAGCTGCAAAGCATCATTGTCTTCAATTTAATTCGTCAAAATATTTAGTCAGTGTATTGGTTAACTAAACGTGAAGTGGTTAGTGTGAAGCCAGTAAATAGGTTACTAAATGAAACCTGTATTCTGAACATAAGCTGCTGTCATATCCCATTTTGTCTTTTGCTCTTCTTCTGCTACATTATTCTCCTTTCTGCTTTTTTTCTTCTATTTTCTGTGCTGTCACACTTGTCAAAACATGATTGTTCTGAAATAATGTAACCAGAATTTCCATTTCCCGGGATTTATTTGGGTTAGGAAAACAACGAAGTTCAAAAGTAAGACGTTCTATAAAAATATGTGAGTCCTTGGTGGTAGAACGTCAGAACCTGACACACGTTCTCAAATGGAGAAATATTTTTTTGTCCCACCCATCCCCTACCCCGCGAAGGGCTGTTAGTTATGCAGTTAGTGTGTGCGTCACATTTATCTCCGTATTATTTCTATGATGTACAGACTTTATGCAGCATTTCATACTGCTGAATTAGGTAATAAGAAATCTGACTTTACAATGTTTGTCTTTTGATCAGTTGCGGCCAAAATCCTTCTGTTTGGATTCTGAACTATGACATCATGGCAAGATTTCGCAGAAGAACATGCATCATTTTGTTGCTTTTTATTTTGTTTATTTGCTCCATAATGATGGCTTTGAAGACTCTGAGACCTGACAGAGCTGGCTTTGGGGATCCATTTGGACTTGGTTTGTTGCCCGAGCTTCAACACCGGACAGTGTTCCTAGAAAATAAACAGAATTCACTGACTAGGGTCCAAGGAGATACGGTAACGCGTGTCAGTAATTTGCATGGTATTGCAGTCAATACTCTGAAAGCATCTATGCCTCCTGTAAACAAGCTGGAAGAAGAGCTGTCTTCTCCTAATTATAACTTTCATATATTTTACTACAGTTGGTTTGGGAACCCACAGTTTGACGGTAAATATATTCACTGGAACCATCCGTTGTTGCCACATTGGGATCCCAAAATTGCAAACAATTATCCAAAGGGAAGGCATAACCCTCCTGAGGACATTGGGGCCAACTTTTATCCTGAACTCGGATCTTACAGTTCCAAAGACCCTTCTGTCATAGAAGCCCACATGAAACAAATGCGTTCAGCTTCAACTGGTAATAAATGTTAATGTTTCAGCATGTTGTTCATTTATCCAGCCTTAAATGTATGAATGAACAGACAAGTTCTTCCATTTTTCTGTGTAATCCTGGAAATGTCTGAAACTATTACTGAGTTTTAACCCCCAGCTGAAACCTACATCTCCAAAGCTGTGTCTGATGAGTGCAACAGCATAGAAACTAAGACCTCTCTTTGTAATCCTCTAGATGCACGTATTTCATGACTTACTGTTAAGCACTGATAACGTATGTAGAAAATACAGAAACTATTGCTAGAATAAATTTTCTGTGTATTTTCTTCTGGAGATGAATACTTCAGTTATAAACCAGTTTTCAGTAAATCCTGTTAACATGGTTATAGAGCAGTCTGTTCAAATAGGAGCGTTTTTTTCTGAATTCTTTGTCTGTGATAAGAACTATGTATGTATTCGTATGTCAAAGAGCATGTAAGATTATGGCTTTTATGCAATTTACATTTGATGCAGTGTATTTGTAGGTGTTCTCATTAGCTATGGAATTGTCTAATCCAAACCTTCTCGAACGCAGGTATTGTAGTTTCAATGTAGCTAATTTATTTCTTTGTCCAAAACTATCATTTTTTTGCAATACAAATTGATGTTCCCTTTCTCTAAATAGGATGGACTGCATGCATAAGAATATTCAATGTATTTTTGGTGTTATTCTTTGTCTTTGGGCTTTTTATGTTCGTCTTTGAAATAAGCACTCACATATGCTAATGTTAAACTCTGAACAGCTTCTGTAAATGTAGTTGGAGCAACATGACCAGAGCCTCTAGTATTATTCAGAGTGCTGATCACCTTGAATTGAATCACTTTCATTCACCTAATCATAATTGTTATATTCCCATTAGTAGTGTTTACTTGTATAATGTTTACTTCTTGGTCATTGTTTTCTCCTGTTTCTAAACCTAACCTGTATTTTGTACAAGTTAATATAGATGTAGGAAATTTCTCACCCTTTTCAGTAACACGATAACTCTATTAACAGGAGCACCAGCAACAGTGGGAAAACTGGTGCAGCGAAATCTCAGGTATTAGTTGCCAGTAAAGCAGGTTTTTATTCTTATCTTAAGCAAAGTAATACATGATAGTGTGATGAAAGCAGAGAGGGCACTTGTAGCTTTAGAAGGATCTGTGATGTTTCTCATCCTTTTAATACAAATGTCTAATAAAGCTGAACTACTGGTGGAAGAGGTGACAGTTACTAGGAAAAATGCCTTGCAAAATAAGTTGTTTTACTAGCTTTTTAGTTTTCCACTTAAAACTCAGCAATGTGAATGAGTAGTTCATGCTTCCTGTGACATTCTCTGTAACATGTTACTGATATTTGTCAAAAGTGGGTTTTTTTTCTGCTGTTACTCTGATTTCTGGATTTAAGTACACTTGAATTTGATTCCGTCTAGATTTTCCCAATAGAAATCATCAACTCATTTTCCTCAGGTCATTACTTCAAATATTGCATGTTTTTTAATAAGAATTTGTTCATTTTTTGTGTACTGTGATGTTGCCTATTTAGAGTTTCTTCTTTTTTGTCTCTTAGCTAATGTCTAATCCATGACTGCATTTAACATTCTGTCAAATAATAACTTTTCTTCTAGCCTTTTTTAAGGCTTCATCAAGGATCTTGTTAAAGGAGAAAAATGTGATTATTTCAACCGATATTATATAATGATCAAACTCATATTAGACATTGGAGCAGCAGGAGTCTCATGCAGTGCTTCCTTGTATGCTGCTTATACTTTACGATGATTTCCTTGTTTATTAATTTCCTAATTTTTAACAGATAAATACAATAGATTTTATTCCTCAGATTGCTTGGTGAAATTTTTGGTTTGCACCAGCATATTTTTGTGGTAGTCCAGTTTGAAGGCCTTTGTTTGTCTTTAATGACTCTTGTTTTAAACATGTTTATGTTACTGTTTTTGGCATCAACTCCATCCTTTTTTAGACTCCTGAAGCAGTATATAACTTTATTTTTTTAACCAGAGGATAGAAAATATTAAGTAGGCTTTCTCAGGGAAAGACCAGTGCTAATGTGAATTTAGGTTTCTTGGTGAACAATTCTGTCCTCTGAACTTTTCCCTGTTTCCTAATGGTATAGAAGAGGATCTTGACAGATGTTGTATTCAAGATACCTTGAATGTAAACTGAGTTTGTTGCTGCTATTCTCCTTCACATCTTACTCATTTGAATTTTATCCTTTTCTTTTGCGTAAAATAAGTTATATGGTTATAAAATGCAGTAAAATATTTGCAGATGTCCTTGAGCAGGCTGTCTCTTGTCATAGACTATGATTTGGGATTATTTTTTTTGATACAATGATGGAGAGAATACGCTGAGGATACTGGAACTAACATATCCTATGTATAGTAAGCTCAAATTTCTGGTTTTAATGTTAGAAGATTATTATATATTCACTCTAATTTGTGTTCTCTTTTTCATAATTTTGGACTTACTTGTTTGGAAATTGTTAAAAATTTTCTAGGATTAGTAAAATAGATGTAATTTAGAGTATATATACTTCCATATCTCACTGACCTCATTTGTGTACTTAAATCTTTGTCTAGTTTAAAAGAATCACATTGGCTTACTCTTCCATATGTTTTTAGTATCAGTGTTAAGAAAATATACCTACATCAGTATTTAATATATTTCTTTCTGTCCTACCTTCTTCTTGATACTCTTTCCAGCTCCAAACCTAAAGGCCTAACTTACTTATCTGACAGCTCTTTAATTTAGAAGGGAAGGGTTTAGCCTTTCTGAAGAGGTATGTGTTCTTTTGCTTTCATGGAGAGCATCAGGAAAATTTACAGTCTAGGGACACTGTATTTGTTGTCATCTTGTTTTGACAGGAATAGTAACACCCTTAAATTATTGAGAGTTACTCAAGCATTTTTTTTAGGTAACAAAATTGAAAACTAATTTTGCATGGTTGGAAGGGTGGATTATACCTTAGTACGTGCTTTTAGCAAGAAGGAACGTTGTAGGATTAGTCACTGCTGCTAGTGTGAAATGGTTGTTTTGTAGTAGTCTGAAGTCCAGTGCAGAAATACAGTGGGGAATGAAGTTGCATAAAATAAGAATCTGGCATCACATGCATGACCTGATCTCTGTCTTGAGTGTTCTCTGACTGTATGTATCGTTATGTTCTCTGACTGTGCTGTGGCATGGCTATAATGCTTTAGTTGGGAGCAATTCTTCTCTTGGTACAATCTGGAGATTAGGATGCTGTGCTGCAAAGTGGGAGGGGATGGCTCTAAGTATGTCACTGGGACTCTGAGCACAGATCTGTTCCCTTGACAGATGATCTTACCACTGTGTCTTTTGTTGTCTTCTAAGCAAAGAGGGAAGTTAAAATTCACTCTTGAGAATACTGAGATTTTGTAATTGGTTAAAATGGAATTTGAAATTCTCATTTTTATTACATAGATTTCACCTCAAACAAGAATTGCGACTCATGACTATGTTATAACATACATGTTATGTGTTAACAAACATGATATAAAGCTGAAGTTCTGTATTTGCAGGTGTAATAGCACTTTCATGGTACCCACCGGGTATGGCTGATGAAAATGGAGAACCAACTGATGATTTGGTGCCTGTTATTTTGGATTATGCACACAAATATAATCTAAAGGTAAAGTACTTTTAAGATGTGTACAGTAGGACTACTTAGGAAAGTAAACCTTGGTAAGAGTTTACTACTTTTGACTTAGGGAGGCTTGTCATGTAATGGTGGCTTCTGTTTATGCATGCTGTTACACTGCACTTCTTTTGGGTCATAGAAGCAAGTATAAATGTCCTTTGAATTACACTGATTTTTTTATTAGACCTGAGCAATATTACCTTATAAGTAGAATAAATGTAACAGTCTGCCTTGTTTTTGTTTTGCTTCAGACATAAAGCTTATATAACTTCAGGTATGGTGTTATGGATTTGTTTTTTTTTTTTTTTTCTTTTTAGGGCACAGTTTTTAACATTACACAATATGTGTTTTTCAAATGAGTCTTGGGAGTTGAGAGAAGTATTTAAAAATATTATGGAATACAGCAATCTGTAAACTAGGGAACTTTGAGAAAGAAGAAAGTCTATCCTCATTTTTTACTTTACCACATAACTTGCTGTTGCCTGATCATAGAGGAAGTCAGGAGCAAGCACCTATGAGTAATAAAGAGGGATTTAGAAGTTCTGGTTTGAATGAATGTCTGTATTCCAGAAGGTATCAAGAACACTTGCCTAGGACAGTAAGGTTAGACAGGTGCTGCTCTGACTTCAGGTTACTCCAGGGCATGACAGTACAGAAAGGCTAAATTAACAGCTTCCTAAAATAGGTGAAATATCAAATCAATTAAAGATTACGTACATTGATCAGTAAACTCTAGAACAGAGATTTGATTTGGTTTATTTTTAGAGTAAAACTTGTATTTTCCCTTGGGATGAAGAAAATGTGCATTGCCTTTAATCTTGCTGAGTAATAAATTTGAGGTTTAAAGTTACCTAAGTAGCTGTATATGATTCATCTCTGGAGGGTGTTTTTGTACTGGGGACTAAAAATAGAGCCTGTTCATCTGCTCTGGTTTTAGTTGATCGTGCAAGTTGCAGACTTTCAGAGAAATTTCCTGTCACTAGTACCAACTGTAGATTCTTTGACAAGCAGGAGGAAAGTAGGAAGGTTAAATCAGATGCAGAAGTAATTTTGAAACTGTTAGAAATCCTGTGTGATTTGTGTTATGTGACCTAAGTTACACATATGTAATAGTAAATTATTAAAAAGAGATGAAGTATTATCTTTCCCGAAAATTTTCAGATCATCTGATGGAGCTTACTGTCACCTAAAAGAACTTGGTAACATTCAAGTCTCTCAGAGGAGCTAAGGCAAAATGAAATAAGCTACCAATGAAAAGGCATGCAATAGTGTGGTCATAACTGGAATAGGGATGGAACTGCTGTTATCTCTTGGAATAATTACTGGAATACAGACGTTAGGTTTGCCTATTACCGGGAAATGCTACCTTCACTGTAATGTTTCTAAACATTCTTGCACTAGTAAGTTATTACAGTTTTGTTAGGAATGTCAGTAGACCAAAACCAACATAAAATATACATTTCTAATAAATCCACTAAATACAAGTCCGTTAAAAGATAAAGTTCTTTTGATTTGCCTGATTTTGGTAGTTGGAAATGAAATACAAAATTACAGTGCTCTTCAACCTGTCCTGTCAGTCCTAGTGATTTAGTCTAACATTGTATTTTTCTACAGATTTTACTTAATAGAGATCATAGAATCATAGAATCACAGAATGGTTAGGGTTGGAAGGGACCTTAAAGATCATCTAGTTCCAACCCCCCTGCCATGGGCAGGGACACCTTGCACTAGACCAGGTTGCTCAAAGCCACATCCAGCCTGGCCTTGAAGACAGCCAGGGATGGGGCATCCACAACATCTCTGGGCAACCTGTTCCAGTGCCTCACCACCCTTTCTGTGAAGAATTTCTTCCTGATATCTAATCTAAACCTCCCTGATTTCAATTTGTACCCATTACCCCTTGTCCTATCACTACAGGCCCTTGTAAAAAGTCCTCTCCCAGTACCCTTGTAGGCCCCCTTCAGATACTGGAAAGCTGCAATGAGGTCTCCTCGGAGCCTCCTCTTCTCCAGGCTGAACAAGCCCAATTCTTGCAGCCTTTCATCACAGGAGAGGTGCTCCAGCCCTCTGATCATCTTCGTGGCCCTCCTCTGGACTCGCTCCAAGTGGTCAATATCCTGCTGATACTGAGGGCTCCACAGTTGGACGCAGTACTCCAGAGATTGTCTGAACAGTGAAATTTGCTGCTGTTGCAGAGTTGTTGAAGACTGTTAAATGCATTCTGCTCTAAAATTGCTTCTGAAGAACTAGTTGCTTTGATTAATATACTCTCCCATTTAATTGTATATTTGAAAACAATGGCATTTTGATGTTGAAATGACTTCACATGTACAGGTTAAATAATTCAATAGCTCCAAGATCAACATTCAGGGCAGTAGCAGTATATTATACTAGATTTAGTTCCAAGAGTTTATTGTTGTTAATAAATCTGTAAAATTTTAAATTAAAGTTCTCATCTCTTGTATCTTAAAACCTATTTTGACAGTGAAAACTCTCCTTGGACAATTACCTATAGCAAATTTAATACATTATTTAGAAATCAAGTATTAAAAAGTTTCATTGGTTAATCAGTTTTTTGACATTCAGATAGATACTACTTTATTTCAATTTTTAGTTTGTACTGTAGTTATTTAAATTTTCTGAAGCAGGCTTACTACTCACTGGAGCCTAGGCAACACAAAAACAGTGTTTTGTTGTAATGTAAAAAATTAAATATTTACTCTATTACCAAACTTCCTTGTATCTGAAGCTTGTAATCCTAGTAGTGCTGGAGTTGAATTAGGGTTGGATTATTCTCAAAATAGACTAACAAAAATGTTTGCGTTGTAAAGAAGAACTATATTTAATGTGGCTGGTACTTCATGTAATACATGGTGCCCATGTATTCAGCAGTATTTTATGTTTGTGTTGCTCTTACCACGTTTTCATCTTTCAGGTCACTTTTCATATTGAACCTTACAAAGATAGAGATGACCGCAGTATGTACCACAATGTCAAATACATCATTGACAAGTGAGTGCATTCAGAATGGTTTCCTTTGGGGTTTGTTACATGCTGGTTTAGGGGGCTTCTGTATATTGTCTAAAGCTTGGATACATATATAAAAGTGTGTACGGACACAGAAGAAAGCTGTAAGAAACTGTTCATATTTCAGTGGCACAGAACTCTGTCTTTTAAATATTGAAGTTTGAATTTTACAGATACTCAAATGAAAATTGCTTTCATCTTTCATTAGTGTCACAAGTTATGATACTTCAGATTAAAGCAGTTAAGTATTTGCTACATGATGTATAAATTAAACATACTTTTTTATAGTGACAAACTATCAGCTAGAGCTTAATGTGTTGACCTCTAATGGTTTTAATTCAGCTTGACAAATTCTATACAGCTACTAGTTGTTTTCTTTATCAGTGCTCCTTAGACTGTCTTGTTTCATACTGAATTAGAGAATTGCCCTTCAGAGAAAACTAACACCTATAGTGAAGTTTGACATTAATTTACTAATTTGTAGTAATCTAAAGGTTCTTTGAGACTTATTATTTAATATTTCAGCAAACACTCATTAAAAATGGATATGAATTACTGTGTTTAGAAGTGCATACACTGTCTTTTAATATCAGTTTTTAGGAAAAGTATTTAACGTGGATTGTAAAACAATATTTTCCAAATGGCAGATTTTGTCTTAATTATACTTGTTTGCTTTATAGATATGGAAGCCACCCAGCCTTTTACAGGCATAAGACCAGCACAGGCAGATTTCTTCCCATGTTTTATGTTTATGATTCTTATGTAACAATTCCTGAAATATGGGCAAATCTGTTAACTGTTTCTGGATCCCAGACTATTCGAAATACTCCATATGATGCATTATTCATTGCACTTCTTGTAGAAGAAAGACATAAGCATGACATTCACAGAAGTGGCTTTGATGGAATGTACACGTACTTTGCCACCAATGGCTTCTCCTATGGTTCATCTCATCATAATTGGGCAAGCTTAAAAGCCTTTTGTGATAGTAACAACTTAATGTTTATTCCAAGTGTGGGACCAGGATATATTGATACCAGTATCCGACCATGGAACAACCACAACACCCGTAATCGCGTCAATGGGAAGTACTATGAGACTGCCTTCAGTGCAGCCCTTTTGGTGCGGCCAGAAATTATTTCTATTACATCTTTTAATGAATGGCATGAGGGAACACAGATTGAAAAAGCTGTCCCCAAACGGACTGGACAGGTGGTTTACCTTGATTATAAGCCCCATAAACCAAATGTTTACCTGGAGCTTACACAGAAGTGGTCTGAGAAGTACAGGAAAGAACAAGAACAGTGGCTTATGTGAGCTATTGCTGCTGCAGCTGTTTCCTAAAGCATTGAATACATTGGGGAAAAAAAATTGAGAGCTGAAAAATCTGTTATTAAATGTCTTTATTATAGATATGTTCAAATTAATGTATCTCTTGAATGTATATGCACTACTACTGAATCTGAATTTTGAAGAGTAAAAAGGTGATGAGAGTATTTGCATTTCTCTCACTAGATATAGATTCAAGAATATTCAGGGAAAATGCGAGGGTTTTATTTTTTGAGGGGTTGTTTGTTTTTCAAACATCGTAACATCTGCATGGGCTAACCCTACATGACCAAAGTAGAACAAAATTTTGGTATAGTTATACGTAATTCCTTTATTCTTGTAGTTTGTGTTTCTAATCAAAGTGATGCTGTAGCTTAAATTTGTATCCTGATAGCTTCTTGCAGGATGCACGCCTGTAGTGTGTGGAATAATCCTCATCTACTGTTTTTAATGCTTTGCACACAGGGAGTTCTTGACATGTGACTAGCTTGTGGTAAAAACACTGAAGATGTGTGGTGCAACACTAGTGGTTTTGGTTATTTAAAAAAAAAAAAATTATTTCAAAGATTGAGTTCCAAAGAACTGCTGAAAGATTTCTAATTTACTTCCATTTCTTCTGTTGGGTACACAATGCGGACTTTTGCAGCTTACTGGTTACTGACCAGTAACATAGTTTTTTGTGTGTTACTTTGAATTACAAAAAGAAGTTTGAACCTGAGAGTGGAAAAGGTTTTGATTTGGTTATTTTTTTTTAGGGAGAAAAACCCCTAAACATGCAAAAAGAAACCCCCCCCAAAAAAAAAACCCAAAACCAAAAACCACAAAACAAACCACCCACAAACACTAAAACTTCCATTGTTACATGTTGTCTACAAATTGGCTGCAGACAGATCTAGTATGTTTTTTAAAATGTTTACAGATTTTAAAGCTAATAACTTATTAGTCCTACAATAAATATAATTTTAGGATATGCTTTTTCATTTATGATTTAGGAGCAGTCTAGTTTGGTAGTAATGACAGCAACTACCCCTTAGTTTAATTTGAAATCTAAGATTTCTATTTTTCATATTGTTCATCTAGTTCCGGGTTCAAAATAGTAGATACTAAAATCTGGTTATCATTCAGATAAGCTTCTTACCAACACCACCTTTAATACTGTCTGGTGTCTGGAAATGAGTACTTTCAGACCTAGGAATCTCACCTTTCTAATGTTACGATTATTAACTGTTTTTCTTAAGGAAGCTGGAAGGGATCAAGTCGCATTACTGTGTCCTCAGCAATCCTTTCTTTGGCATTTTCATACAACTTCACAGAAGAATCCTGAACTTCAGAATAGTAGAAATTTTAGTGGTTTTTTTTTATTTACAGAAAGTGTTTAATCCGTAGCAAAGTGGCACTTTTTTAAGTGTGGGTGGTTGGTTTTTTTATGTTTGTGATTTTTTTAATTTATATACAAGGTGCTGTTCCTGTGTTGTAGTTTATATGCTGCAACTCTTGTGACCACTGTAATTCCATTGCTCTCAGCAGGACCCATGGAAATTACACTCAGTTCTCACAGTAATCTGTCCATGAAGTTGTAAGGTGATTATGAGGACTGCCGGTTAGAAAACAAAACCAACCAAAAGGAAAACACTATGGTTTTTCCAGAAAATTTTATCATTCCAAATAAACATAACCAGTTACTGCTAATATTTTTTAGAGTCTTTCTGGTATGAAAAAGGTTTGTTTATGTACCTTTCACTTATTTACAGTTTAATTCCCTTGTCATTTCTCTGCACTTGTTAGAGATGTGGTGTCTTTTCCTTACCTGCTTGAAAAATTGGTGACAGATACATAACCTGTCATTTTGAAGTGCGCCTATAGAGTTATTGGACTCCTATTAATATCTCTTCATAATATTTTGCATTTTCCTACTGAGTTTCTGTAAACTCCAAAGTGCTTCTGAAAGGAATGTTGCTAATGCTTATTTTATTATACTGATGCTGAGGTGGATAAAAAGTAGATACAGGTATGACCACAGTCACAAAAGAGTGTCTGAGGCAGATGAAGCACTTGCTGGACTTTACCACTTCCAAGTTAACCACTTTATTAAGGAAACTGATTTTCATGTTTTTATTTTCATTCTCTTATATATCTGTACATAATTTAGTTCTGTAATTTGTTATATGTTTATGCTTTTACAGCCCAAAGAGCCTGCATACTTATTTTAAATGCGAGGGAATGATTCAATTTTTGCGTATCTATATTGAGTTTCAAAAAATCTTGTGAAATCAAACCTTTTGAAAGGACAAGTCTCTTGGTTTTCCCCTTACTTAAACTTTTGTCATCCCCTAGTCTTTTCTCACTGTAGTTGTCTGAGCTGTTTACTGCTCTTGACAACCTAGCACTCAGCTGTCAGCTCCTTACTTTCTTCTGGTGGCAGTTTATTTTCTCCATGACTATAAAAGTTGCTCCTTTTCTTGCTGTTTATAGAAACATTTGAAATTTGTTGTAGAGTATCGTACAACTGAGGTGATCTATCTTTGAAATATGATTTCTGGTAACAGTGTAATAGATCTTCATTACTCGGAAAGACTTCTGTAATTGCTGTAGAGTATCATTTAGTCCTTGCCATGAAGTGGTATGGGCCATGGCACACTGGTATCTGATGGGATCTTTAGTACTTACAGATCTTCTGTAGAAAAGCATGAAAATTAAGTGCCTACAAATTCATCACCCCTATGCGCTTAATGTAATTTTGTGCTTGATGTGTTTCAAAATATAAATATGTCACCTGATAAAATATTTCAGAGTTTAGAACTTAATTTGATGATCCTAAGGAGAGCTGGTGGAATAGGAGCTGCTAGAACTACCCCACCTGCCTTCCCAATACTTTCTTTGTATTTAGAGCAAATATTAGTTCTACTTCTTGTTATAGAGGGTGGAGAGTTTTGCTGAGGGATTGCTGCTGCAGTCATGGTAGGTTTTGGAAGTTTCAGTAAAAATAAGTCTGTGATAGATGGTTTGTACAACTGCAAAGAAATGAGATTATAACAAGTGCACAGTTATTGGGGCGAGGGGGAAAAGGTGAATGTATTTTGAAGATGATTGCTCCAAGCTTTACGGTTACTGTTACAGTTTGGCTTCAAACCTCTGTTATTTCTTTACTAATTAAAAAAGAAATTGCAATGATTACTTTTAATATCTTTACACTGTGTTACTGCATTTGACTCATCTTGTTATGGTATGTTTAGTACTTAGAGTGATATACTACATTTATATAGATCAGCCAATAAACATTATGGGAAGTTTCAATGGAGATCATGCCATGCTATGCCGCTGCAAATACAGAAATACCTGAAGTTATCAATCATATACTACTGACTGAGCATCCCTTGAGGGGGAAATGTTTTCCGAGACAAGTAGCAAGTCTCTGTGGTAAGAGAGAACTTCTTTAAAAGAAAAATCTATAGGTTCATTTCTGCTTCTGTCATTTGTAATCAAGTAATTTGTTTTAATTCTGTGAGCTATCTCAGAACTGAAGCTTAATATATCTTCTCTAAATTAAGAATTTATATTAAATCTTGTGTAGTACTGCATGTTTCTCAGACCTATAAACTTGTAGTAAATTTTGGGGGAAAGAACATATGCATACACTGTTATGATTTCAGTGGCAAGCTGTAGATAATTGTGAATGTAGTTTCTGTACTGATGTTCATCGTGTTTGTCTAGTGCCTTTCTTTTGAGGTGCCAATGGTTTGTCTCTTAAGAGGTTGTTGAAGCAGAAAGGTCCTTAGTGAACTCATTTTTATTATGAAACTTGATATGTATATGCCCTTCGTTGTTTGAATTAACAAGTTTTACGCATGGCTCTTGGGTTCCCTTGAAAACATTTCACAGTAGCACTGTGTTGCTAGTAGGAGAATGTCTCTGGGCACATGGACAAGGATATACTGTAATTTAGGGCACTTGTTTGTAAATGTTGTGTACTTAAAAAGAGGAAATGAACTATTTACAGACCAATTATTTACCATTTAATGTAAGCTGAAAATCTCTCTCCCAGTCTTAAGGTATTTTACAAGTATCAGTCCTTACCCTTTTAATCGCTTAAGATAGTGTCAATATTTCATTCCTTTCTTATCTTTTACTTTTGACCAGCATGTTAAATGTTGCATAAGCCTCTAAAGAGATTGTATTTCTAAGACTTCATTGTTGTAATATTCAGTAAAGAGAATCTACAAGATTATTGGCACTGCCAAAAAGCCTGATATAAATTTGATATTGTATAGGTATGATTTTGTTGTGAATGGATAGTGTATCTTTGCTATGTATTGAAGATGAATTAAAAAAAAAATACCTTTCTTTTTAATACCCTACCTGGCTGTGACAGAGGTGCATTTGCTTACATGCGTATATAAAAACAAGTGTGTGTGTTTCTATTTATATATATTATATATGTGCATATAACCGAATTCATTATTTTTAAAGTACTATATCATTGTATTTAAAATTACAAGCTGGATTCTGCTACCTTAAGTGAGCAATGTTTTTAAATTCCTTATGTTGTTTACAAAAAACCTAGTTGCTTATGTATAAATACTTTCATGAACAATAAATACAAGCCCAAAAAGTGTGATTTAAATGGTGTGTGTGGTAATATTTTTTTTTTTTTTAATAATACGAGTTTAGTAACTGAATTTTTATTTTTACAATATGCACATAGAATTTAAGTAGAGGTTTTTAGGACTATATGTGTTACATCTTATTAGGCTACTGAGTTCACTAGTACATAGTGTTGCAGGTATCTTTGAGACCCAATGTACTACTATATATTCACACAGTAAACTAAAGTTTACAGTTTATACAGAAGTTTAGGAGGAATGGGCGCACAAATAATCAGCTTTGCAGCAGGATGATTTACAACTGAATACTACAATAGTGTCAAAGATGTAGCTGTTGCATTCTTCTTATAGTATATTGTGCAGTACAGATATAAAACCTCTAGAAGG